TTAAAAAAAAAAAAAAAAAGCTGTTTTACAAAACACCCAGTAGAGTCATGGTTATTATCTTATTTACTGATAACGTTTCCTGTTTTTCCCACATGGCTCAAAGCTAACAAGGTAGTGGCGGCCATGCACCCATCCAAAGTGCGCAGAGAGCTGGTCCCTATCACCCTTCATCCTTCCTCAGCAAGGAAGCTGACTTCTCTTTCAACTGTTAGATATTTAGCTCCCAAAATTAATTTCTCCAAATAAACTGGTTTTTACAGCCTAACTCAGTTGTGCAACTGCTAGCTTAGTTTGGTAATACATTTAATTTGTAATGTAAAGATTCCTCCCAACAACAAATAAGGTAGATAAAAAAATGATGAGTTTAAAAACAGTAAGGAAAGAATTTGGAGCCCTCTGGGTGGATCATCCCCATGACTCGGTTGTTAGAAAGCCTGAGCTGGGCTCACAGTAGGGTCCAAAGACCCAGTAACTCTTCCTGCATCTTCAGCTGGGTTGACAGCTACAAGGGCAGTAGGCTCCCGGTGCCGGAGGAGGAATCCAGGCGACTTTGACCCCAGTGGACAATAAATGCCTAATCACTCTTGATTTTTATAGTCTGCGTTTACCCATCCTGTAAACCATTTACTACGCACACACACCATCAGATATATTTGCTATGGGAATGGGCCCAAACCAATGGTGCACAGAGCAGCACATCTCCACTGGGGCTCGTGCCCACGCGGCTGTGCAGTTGGCAGCTCTTCTGGGACTATGCAGAACGCACCTCTGGCTTTTCCTCCTATAGTCTGAAAATGGATTCTTTTAAAATCATGCGTTCCCACTTCTAGGATTAGGGGCTTTCAATTACAATTCAGACATTGTTTTTTGTTCACACTTGTGTCTGTTTCCCTTGGAAAGTTTAGTGTGAAGGTGGCAGAGAAGGACTCATGAAGCATGTTGGAAGGAATTAAAGTTTAGGAAGTAGATTATAATCATATTGCTCCTGGCAGATCAATTGTTGGCAAATATATTAATTATAATATTCTAGTATAGTATATATTATATACTAATATAGCATTAATACAATATTAATATGATGGTAACTTATTTAATATTTGCATTAATGTGTACATTATTTATAACATAATTATTCATATTAGATATTAAACATTTTCATTTTAGTAGTAGACCATAACATATAATATTATACATATAAATAACGCAGTATCTTTATATGTTAGTTGCTTGTAAATCTGTGTCTTTAGACTTTGAATCTCGTAAGATTACTAACATTTGATGTCATTCTTCTTACTTAGATATTGTAGAAGGAAAGATCAACAAAGGCATTTACCTCAAAGAGGAAAAGGGAGTCACACTTCTCTATTACGGAAGGTACAAAACTTCTTGCATCAGTAACCCGGCACAGTGTGGCCCTGAAGGTGAGCGAGGCGCCCCCCTCGGTTTCTTACTGCATTGCACCGCAGGCAGGTCTGCTCCTCCGGACGTGGGCAGATGCCAACAGGAGGTTTTCATGGACTGCAGAAGGCCTGAAAACATACGGGTTTGAGAGGAGGGGAGGGATGGGGGTGCGGGCACGTGGAATTACAACAAGAGGTTTGTTCCCGGAGACTAAGAATTAAAATGCTGTCACACAGAGATGTGAGAGCAAAATATTTAAACTTTTAAAGCAAAACAAACAACAAAAACCAAAATAAAAACCCTCCATAAAAACAGACACGGTGATGTCACAGCGGGATTTGGACAGGGCCATGGCATTTATGGGAGGCAAATTGACGGTGTGGCTCACACAATGCTATTTCCGGCTCCTGGATGTTGACGGGTCTGGGCGGGCATGCCTCTGACGACCTGTGCAGTGGCTCTGCTTCTTTTAGGTTCGAGATTTGGGAGGGAGCCGGGGTGGGGACTGCCCCAGAAAGGGGTTGCAGGCCTGTGGTTAAAATAATGCCACAGACAAAAAGCACACCTGCAAAGGAAACATTAGGACCCATCATTTGTTTCCCAGTGAAAACAAAGTAGTCTGCTGTCTGGTATCTGAGCTTCAGGCCACATTTCAAAAACTCATGGGAAATTGTTCTCTGCCACCCAAGTCAGCTTCAAAGGTTAAGTTCCATTATCCTAGGCCAAATGAACATTTTGATTTCTAAGGACATTTAACTTATAAAAATAGGAGTTTAATGCAAGCCTGTGTGAGAGTGCTTTTAGACAGCCAGTGGCTCATCGCGACAGAGCTGTGTTCCTCCTACATGATTCTCGGACATCCGGACCACATTTCAGTAAAAATAAACAAAGGCTTAGCTAGGCGAAAACGTGGGAGGATATGTTTTGGATGTTGCGGAACCTAGAATTTTGAGAAATGGTTTTGAGGTCCAAAACCACGGCCAGGTTTACAAATCTGTGGTGAGAGCCCTTCTGAGTTCAAACGGTTGTGTAAACACACCAGACTTGTTTATTTCTCGAAATTAAAAACAACCCCAGGCTGAGCTACATGATGCTGGGGGCCAGGCAGGGGTGGTGTGCCTGCTCTGCAGGGAGGCTCTGGGCCCTGGCATTTGGGTCTGGGAAACAGCCTCCCTCTGGAGGAAAGTTGTCCAGCTCCAGCTCCCACCTGGAGTTTATGAGATTCGAATGGTGTAGGACCCAGAAATTCCAGGAACTGGGGATCATTATGATCACCAGCCTTGTGGGGAGACGGTTGGGGTGCCAGGGGTCAGGGCTGCAGGAAGCCAGAACTATTGCACAGTTTTACCTGAATTCTGAGTCCAATCTCCTGATCTGCACACTGGGTCCAGAATGTGCCTGCCTCAGGTGGCTGTGGTGAGCTAGCACATCCCGGGCACTTGCTGGCCCAGCATCTGAGAGGCCTCAGGGTCTCAGCCCCTGCACGACTGCTCCCAAACTTCTCTCACTAGGACATTGGTCCTGATGGACCACCTGCCTGCCAGAGTGTGACCCCTCCCAGAGGCACTACCCATTCTCATGACCCACAGTTGTTAATTGCTGACTGTGTGCCCATCACTGGTCTATCTCATGATGCATTAACTCACTTCATTGTCAAGCACACCAAGGCAGACAAGAGCTCGGGAGGTGGAAGCTGCTGGGAGCCCAGGCATCCTGTCCCTCTCTGTTAACAACTTCCTGCATTGTAATGAACTGGCTCCTTTAAGGTATTTGACACGTGGCCATTTTGTTACACCGTGGCCAGATATGAAATGAAGCCAGGAAGTCGGAGATTTGCGGTGGCTTCCTGACATGGTACCAGTGGAGGCTTAATGCTGGAATAGATCCGGCTGTGTTTTCTCAGTTGTCTCCCTTTGTCTGGACTTCAGCTTCATCAAGTGGCAGAGTCCTGAGCATGTGAGATATCCTAAGGGCACCGAAGCATTCCCCAGTTTTATTTACCATATCCTTTGCTCAGGTGGGTTTCCCTGGAGCCTAACTGAGCTCATATTTCTGGCTTCAGGAAGAACAAGAGGCTAACAGGGAGTTCTGTCCAGCATTTTCTGAATCAAGGGCCGAATAGCACCTGGAGTATGTTACAGAATTACAGCTGGCACTTGGGCAATTAAAAAAATTAATGGTGATACATCTATTTTAGCACAAATAGCTCATCAGAATTGTGATTTCATAGATATTATTTAGGCAGAGAATCCAGTGATTAGTGAACCTAAAAAATGAGTTGACTTAAAGGAAAATGTTGCATAATAACAATAAGGGTGGGATTCAATATGATGAAAATTGCAAGGAATATAAATGTGAGAGACCGGGATTCACCTGATCTCCTTCTCCACATTTTCTTGGTGGTGATGGTGGGCATACTCTTATACCCACTACTTTTGTAACAAAACCCAACATTTAAATAAAGAGAATTGCTCCCCATGCCCAGTCCAACAGGCCAACTATTTTTATATTTATTTCCAAGTTCTCTCATGGTCTCTTTTCATATATTTTGTTAACTTTTTATTTTAAAAAAAGAGTGTTTTAGGAGACAGAGTTGGAAGTCTGAGCTTTTCACAAAGGAATGAGACCTCTGGACAGGTTCGCTGCTTCCCTGTGTCCTGGCACCCACCACCTCCTCCTGCCAGTCCTGCTTTTCCCAGAATGCCCCCCTACTCCCACCCCACCCCCTGCCAGCTTTAGCACCTTCCTCCATTTCCACAAGCTGACTCTGGTCTTGCTTCTGGGCCAGTGCGCCTTCCAGGGACTTTCTTCACTGACGCAGGGTGCCTAGAGCAGGAAGTTTTTCAGGATCTTTTGAGAGGAAAAGGCTATGGGTCACTGGGCTGTTCTGGCATGTCACCCTGAGGAAACACAGCCGGTGTCCCCTGAATACCGAGGCATCTCTCCTGCAGCTGACCCCACAGCCAGCAGGCAACAAGCGGACATTCAAAGCAGGGAGGCGCCCTTGGGGATGGCCTGCCCTTCATTTCACTCACGCAGACCTGGAGGGCTCAGCTTTCACCGGGATGAGTCCCAGGCCAGGCGAGCCCTCGGGGCCCCTGCATGCTTCCCTTCCGGAACTGGTACAGCTGACAGCAGCCTGTCCCTGCTGCACCCGTGGCTCTGTGAGAGCAGGGACTGTCTGCCTTAGTCATGGCTGTATTTTCAGTGTTGTTGATGTCTACTGCCTATCACTGTTGATGGGCACACAGTTGGACCCTCCTTCTGATGCCTAGGTCCCTCTGATCGCTTCTCCATCAAATGCTGGATGGCCTGCTGCCCTCTCCTGAAGGCGCCTGTTCCATTTCTGCACTCCTCTGACTTTCAGGAGGTTGTTTCTGATATTGAACTCAATTCCATCTTGAGTGACTTCCACCCATTGCTTCTAATTCTAGCTCAGCTCTAAATCATGCTGGCTCCTCCTGTTTCCTGGTTGACTTTACCGTTCCTTAAGCAAATGCACCCTTATTTTCTCCTCTTGTGTGTTAGAACTACCTCTGCTTGTAAACACCAAAAAGGCTGCTAACACTCTGTAACCACAGCTGGAAAATCTCAACATTTGCATTCCGACTTCTCAGCCCTCACAGGACTTTCCCCTTTGCTAAATTCAGAAGGCTGCCAACAACATGCTAAAATATTTGCAGGAAGGAGTTTCTCGGTAGAAAGTTCCAGAGGGGTCTGGTGGATACAGGCTGGGCATGGATCCAACAGTGGTCTTCCCCAGATGACCTGGGGTTACAGGTCATTGGAAAGCACGGGGGGGTGGGTGGCCCTCAGTGAAGCGTTCATTCAGTACACTCATTCACAAATGGGGAAACTGAGGCGCAGAGGAGAGAACCGAGCATGCTTAGAGCTACTTGATGATTTTGTACAGCGAATCTCAGAATACCATGTAGAGACCACGGGCAGCAGGATCAGTTACAGAGATTGTTAAAAAAAGTTCTCAGACTCCAATCTGGGACCTACTGAACCCCAGCGTCTGTGGATGCAGCCCAGAAACCTGTATTTCTAGCCAAGAGCTCCAGGTGGATCTCGTGGACCATATCTCAAAACCAGCCAAGGCTGAGTCAATCCCAAAAATGTGTCCTTTGGTGGCATTATGTTGATCCTCTCAGTTTTTATATTTTCATTAGTTTTCTAAATTGTTTTGATGAGTCCAAATATCCCAGCTCATATATTTCCAGAAACAAGGCCTCTCATAGTGCTTTCAATGTTTTAAAAAAATTAATATACCAACTCCTGTGTAAGAGAAAATTTCATTTAAAAACATCTATATCTCTGACTGCCCTTAAAAAATCAGAAAATCCAGTGATATTCCTGCCCAGCAGCAGGTGAGTGGAGTTGGGGCCAGCCCTTCCTTTCGGACAGGTCCCATGTCTGGCTTCTGCAGCCTCCAGCGCTGTTACTTGCATTGAGACTGAGGGGCAGCTGCCACTCACTGACCATAGTGATGCGAGAAATGGGAGTGTAGAAGAGAGTCCTACAGCATCTCAAGAAGAGGGCAGAGAGCCTTTTGGGGGGAGGGTAGAAATGAGCATTTGATATGAAAACGCCTTGAAAATGTGTGCACACATGTTTGAAAGAGTACAGGCTGAGCTGCCTTCTGGAGACAGGCTGGCCATCTTACTTGTAGGCAGAGTCCTCTTGACTACACGGGCTTTTGAGTTTATGGCCTCTGTTGTGCACACTGAGGAACACTATCCCTTTGTGTTCCTACTCTCTCAGGGCATTCTCTAGACTGCATGTTCTCCTACTATTTCAAACTCAAATAAGGCTGAACATGGAACTCCTCATCACTGACTCAGTGTCCTGTCTTGTTATGCAGATTCTCCATCACTATGACCTTCAGCTCTTCTTCTTTCCAAATTTTGTACTTTCTAATCTCATTTCTCCCACCTTATTTGGTTGTTGTTTCATCTTCTAATCATGGAGATGGAAAAAAAAATCTAAAGATACAGTGTTAAAGCTTCACTACCTACAC